AGTTCATTGTTTAGATGAGTATGTCAGTATGGAAATATATCAGAGCCTCTAATCAGACGTTTACCAGAATGTTCAGGCTGCTCTTTTCCATACAAAGAGTAGCATGCAGTGCTGTCAAGCTCCAAAATGAACAAAATGCACCGTGTCAGTTTGATGACGGCAGTCTAACTTGTGCTGTGTATTCAGTCTTGTTAATTTACACATGATTATGTCGTAATGTCCATATAATTATATATCTAATGAACCAAGCACACTTAAACTACTCATCACCTTTCTGTCTGTGTCTCTTCATCTTGTGTCTGTCTGTCTTTCTGTCATAATGTAAATAATCGAGGTGCACAGCTCTGGCCGACCGGCTGCAGTTTCCACTTATCTGCTGTTTATTTCAGAGAGGAAAACAGCAGGAAGAGAACTAATGGCGTCCAGATTATAAACATTGAAAAAAGATGGAGAAAAATGTGGGGTTTTCAGAGCAAACACACACACCTTTTCACCTGTTCATGGAGTTGGTGTGACCTGTGAAACTTTCCTTAACTCTGCTGATAACCAAGAAATGGGCTCCTCGCAAACTACAAATCCGATTATGAGAAAGAGCGAGAGAGAGAGAGAGAGAGAGAGAGAGAGAGAGCGAGAGCGACAGAATTGTTTAATTTGCACTTTGCCAAAATCCCACCACTGCCCTAAGGTTTGGAAAGAGTTCTTTGTAGCTCTAAAAGTTTCCCAGAAATATTTAAAAGTGTCTTTAAATTTTTTATCATTAAGCAAAGCACTATTGAAATGCCAGTAAGCACTACTTGGTTTAATTGAATTTAAAATAAAAGAACAGCACACCATACTATGATCAGAAAAACTAACAGGGACAATAAAACACTTGCTAAAAATACCACATTGATGTTTAAAACTGTAAAACCTATCCAACCTAGCTAAAGATAGAACATTGTCACGGGTATGAGACCACGTATACTGTCTTAGATTCTCATTAAAATGTCTCCATATGTCACACAGCTCATGTGCTTTAATGATTTGAATAAGTCTCTTACGGGAGGGGCCATGGGGTTCAACGTGATTCCGATCAAGATTTCCTTCTGTACAATTAAAATCACCTCCCAAAACCAAAAACTCCTCACTATCACAATTCTGTAGAGTTGAATTGAGGGTACTTAAAAACAACATTCTTTCAACCCCTGAAGTAGGAACATAGATACAAAAAAACACAAAAACGTGATTTTCAAATAGAGCTCTAACTTTTAAAAGTCTGCCCTTTATAATTTCTTCAACATCATAAGAAACTGGCTTAAAGCTTTTTGAAAATAAAACAGCAACTCCTCCACTGACAGATTCTTTTTGACCCATGTCAGTTCAACGTGATCTCATGAAAATACGTGTGTATTTGTACGTAAAATTTGTCAATTGCAAACGTATGCATGTGACGTTTAAATAGACGAATATACGTACGATATACACGTATTTGGGCTTCAAAAACGTAAAGGTTTATACGTATTTTCACATAAATAACGTATAAATGCTTACGTATAGCCTATACTTTAAAGTGTATAGGCGGAGCGTGGCCACATCGGATAATGTGTGTTTTCTACCAAATTCCACGGATGATTCTTATAACTGCTGCTTATTCGATCAGCTATTGCGCCTTGTAAAATAATAATAATAATAATAATACATTAATTGGCGTCCAGATCCTTCACTTTCCTTTAACGTGTTACAGAAGACACGCATGCATCCACTGCGCTGTTTTGTTCAGATTCTGTTGTAGTAAAAAAACATATTATCTATTACACAGCATATTTTGCAAGATCCAGTTATGTCGACTCCAGTTATGTCAACTAACTTCTTCTATAGCGCCTGATTAGTATTCGGTGTGAAAATTGTCCTAAACACGTGTGCGTCATTACTGCATACAATATTAATGTAATACCTTTAATATTAGTATATAGCTATTATTGCATTTGTAATAGGCTATTTTTAGTCTATTGAACAGAAGCATAATATTTTATGTAAAGGATAATAAATGTAGGTTACATTGGGGGGGGTTGGGGGGGTTGTGATTGATTACCATTACACACACACACACATTTTTTTTGTAGTAAAATCATGGTTGATTTTAGTAAGGCTGGCAATTGAGGACAACTGTAATGTCGCCTTGAGAAAGAAATTCAAATTTATGTTAAGATGATTTTGTATTTACATAATAAGAAAGCAATTAAGACTGTCTCCATATGCAAGTCCTTTAATATATTTACATAATGTTTAGGCCACCCCCTGGCTGTATGTGTAGTTTGTATGCATATTTTTGTTTGCGTTTTATGTTTTCATGTGTATTATTGTAGTCCTAACTGTACTTTGACTGTGTTTATTGAGGTTTAATAATAAAAAATTAAAAAATTAAAAACTGTAATGTCGCGACTGACCAATCAAAATCAAAGATTTCAGAGCGTGCGTAAAAAATTTAATAAAATGTGGTAAAAAAATATTTGAAATAAAGCATGAAATATAATATGTTATTTATAATTAGCATAGGCTTTAATAACAAACACAATGCCATTAGGATATTATGTGCTGGGTAATTGCCTGTATTTATATGATATTTCATTATTGCACAGTAGTACAAAAATCCTTTATTTTTGGTTCTTGAGAAAGAAATTCAAATTTATGTTAAGATGATTTTGTATTTACATAATAAGAAAGCAATTAAGACTGTCTCCATATGCAAGTCCTTTAATATATTTACATAATGTTTAGTCCACCCCCTGGCTGTATGTGTAGTTTGTATGCATATTTTTGTTTGCGTTTTATGTTTTCATGTGTATTATTGTAGTCCTAACTGTACTTTGACTGTGTTTATTGAGGTTTAATAATAAAAATTTAAAAATTAAAAACTGTAATGTCGCGACTGACCAATCAAAATCAAAGATTTCAGAGCGTGCGTAAAAAATTAAATAAAATGTGGTAAAAAAATATTTGAAATAAAGCATGAAATATAATATGTTATTTATAATTAGCATAGGCTTTAATAACAAACACAATGCCATTAGGATATTATGTGCTGGGTAATTGCCTGTATTTATATGATATTTCATTATTGCACAGTAGTACAAAAATCTATACAAAAATCTAGCATGTATTTTTGTGTTGTATTTTTAAACATGCTGTGTTATCAGGTAATGTTACACAAAGTTTTTTTCGCTTTGTGCTTGGACCACTTCCGGTGTCTTATTTAGCATATCTCCCGCGCATTGCGTGCAAAGAAAAATAGCTGTACAGGTAAGGAAGCGTGTTTTCCTTATTTTTATACTAAATACATTTTATACTATACATTTATTATTTCTATATTATTTTTTATTAATGGTTCTCACTTGATATGCTATTTTTTTAATTTAACGATTCTTTCAAATCTTTTTAAAATCAACAATTTAATGATTAATTAAAATGTTTAGCTGCATACGTTAGATGTGCTGAGACCATTTTGGATGTTATCCAAACACCAAATCAGCATGATGATGCATTACTAAATAGTATCTAACACAGTCGTTTTTTTCATGTAATAATTAAGATGATGTTTTATATGCTCCGATTACGTCAGCGTGGATCATCTTTCCTGTACTTATTGGTGATATTTACCAGTACATATTACACTTTAAAAAACACAGTAGTGAAAACAGCTGTATTCTGGAACATGGTTGCAGCAAGTATAAGATTTTTGAAGATGAGTTCATCTTCCAATGACCAGCTGGTCAAGGCTTGGATTAGCTTAGATCAACTCATTTCCTTGTTGGATCAGCTTTGATCAGCTCATGACCATCTTGAAACAGCTTGGACCAACTTCGACCTGTTTATAACCAATTTATGACATGTTCCAAAACACAGCACCACACCAGCAGCATTAACCAGCATGGAAATTGTATTGGTCTATGCTACTTTTTAGAAGCATAAAAACATAACATTGCAGTGAATGACTTGCTACATGTATGCTCATGTAAAAATGTGTGTTTTTTGTTTATCACAGGATGCCTGGGTCCACACTAAAAATATGCAGATCATGCAATGTCCACATTTCAGTGGCTTGCAAAACCTGCAAACACTGCGGGCAAAAACAAGACATGAAAAAGGCCATAAAAGTTGCAAAACAAAAAATAAATGACAGATGGGTCAAAAATATGAAAGGTTCAAATAATTTTTGTAAACTTGTAAATTCTGCAAATGTTCTGGTAAGTCACTATATTAAATGCATTCAAATGTTAAAGTTGGCCTTTGGAGCATGAAGCATGATGAACTTTATTAAAGGGATAGTTCACCCAAAAATGAACTGTCATCATTTACTCACCTTCAAGTAGTAACAAAACCTGTATAAATTTCTTTGTACTGTACTGCTGAACACAAAAGAAGATATTTGGAAGAATGTCAGTAACCAAACAGATCTCGCCCGCCATTGACAATGACTACCATAATTTTTTTTTCCTACTATGGTAATGAATGTGGGTGAATGAATGATCTTGAGGGTGAGTAAATGATGACAGAATAAAAATTTTTGGGTGAACTATCCCTTTAAGTGTGTGCACATGTGTATGTATGTGTGTGTGTGTGTGTGTGTCCCCGTGTGTCCGTGCATGCGTGCGTGCGTGCATGTGTGTTTGGCCATGTGATGTAACCACTGTTTTTAAAAAAAATTCCCGAAATCTCCCGTCCTCCACAGGTTATACAAACACAGAGTTGCTGTGTCTGGCTCAGTTGATTGATCACGTGTGTTGTGTTGTGTATAAAACAGTGTTTTATAAACTTTTCTGTGATATTTTCCAGCAATATTTATAGCATGTAAAGACAGGGGGGAGATGAAACAAATAGTGTCTTTATATTTTGCTTATAATTGCTTCTGCCAAAAAAAGATTTACACTGCCTTATTAATTTTATTAAAAGTAATATTTTACATTCAGCATTTTCCTATTAATGTCTGAGTAATGTTTTCCCCTTGTGATTACAGATTCACAAAATGCATGCATTAGGGAGGTATCCTCTTCTTCTCTTGGGGAAGAGGAATGTGTCAGGGTCCTTCACAACTGACGTGATCACAGCTAATTCCTTTTTATCCCCAGAGGAGGTGTCCATTGAAACAATAAAGAACATTTTTACAAGTCTTCTAAAAGGTAACTGTACTGCTAAAGATGAAATTTCAGCCAGTCAATGTACAGTTGTGCAGTTAGCTGTAGGTATGACATTTGGAGCAATGGCTCATTTCTTACAGAGCAGCCTTTTAGGTCATGTCAATATCAGGCTTGTTTTACTGTAGAAATTGACACTTGTCCAGCTGTTGATCTGACAACTCCTGCTCTGCTTATTTTACAGTGAAATGTTCTGCCCTGGACAGTGGAGTTGAGAGCAACCACAGCATGTTGTCCAGCGGGGAAGATCGTGGTGCCAGCGATGGAGTAGATGCCACAGTCTTTCATAAAGGGGATGATCCCAGTGGCAGCACTGGTGGAGAAGATGTTGTTACTTTAATCCTTACTCCAGTGGATCTCTCATGCGAACCTTCTCACACCTTCCAACCACCAAAAAAAAGAAGATCCTGGAGAAATCTAAAGGTAATTATATATAATCTATTTTGTTGATGAATAACAGATATTGTTTTTAGCTATATACCAAATATACGTAAGCATCTAAATTTTGTAATTGTGACAAAAACTGTTGATGTCACCTGCATTGATACATCTTTAAGGAATATGTTGCAATAACTGTGTCACAATAACTCACAAGGCTGATTTACCTGCTTCACCTCCAAAAGCTATCACACCTATCCCACCGACAGATGTCCCTTTTCCATACTTGTAAAATGTCATTGCTTCACCCACAATGGTATGTTCTTCTGTATGTAACTTCTGTTTTCACCTAATGATAACATGCATTTCCTATATTCCAAGTTATATGAACTCTTGATTTAGCACAATGTTTGATCTAAATGAATAATCACATACACTAAAATCTTTACATATGTTTGACTACTAATGTTTGAATTTGTGGTCCAGTTCATGCTGTAAACATCTTAAACTGTTTAAACAGAATGAGTAATCAATAAGTAACCAAGGAGGGCAGGTAAATAGGAATATAACCAAAAGAAACAAACAAACAAGAACAAAGAAAACCATGATCGTATTATATTGTGACAATATCTCAGATCTCAAGCACATGTAAACGTGCTACCCTTCATGCTTTTGTGCAGCTAAACATCATTATTCCATGTTCAGATTAGTATACAGTACTGTTAATATGACTTAAAAACACAGATTATACGCATCATGCATGTTGTATTACTATATAGAGCATAATTTACATAAATGTCAGACTAACGTGTCAGGATGGTCTAAAACAGTACTTTTCAACTCCAGTCCTTGGGACCCACCACTGCTCTGCACACTCAGTTGAGTTCAGGAAGCTTTTTCCTAATGAGCTGATGATCTGGATCAGGTGTGTTAAATAAGGAAGACATGCAAAATGTGCAGAGCAGTGGGTCCCATCAGAGATTGGGTGCTTCTCAATCAGCTCCCCAGTTGATGCTCACTATGTATCGTGATAGGTTGCCACCTGTGCAATAAGTCCATTCATCAAATTTCCTCACTACTAAATATCCCACGGTCTACTGTTAGTGGTAAGCCACGTAAAATCACAGAGCGGAGTCAGCGCATGCTGTGCGCACAGTGCGCAGAAGTCGCCAACTTTCTGCAGAGTCAATAGCTACAGACCTCCAAACTTCGTGTGGCCTTCAGATTAGCTCAAGAACAGTGCGTAGAGAGCTTCATGGAATGGGTTTCCATGGCCGAGCAGCTGCATCCAAGCCTTACATCACCAAGTGAAATGCAAAGCATCAGATGCAGTGGTGTAAAGTACGCCGCCACTGGACTCTAGAGCAGTGGAGACTTGTTCTCTGGAGCGACGAATCACGCTTCTCTGTCTGGCAATCCAATAGACGAGTCTGGCTTTGGCGGTTGCCAGGAGAACGGTACTTGCCTGACTGCATTGTGCCAAGTGTAAAGTTTGATGGAGGGGGTATTATGGTGTGGGGTTGTTTTTCAGGGGTTGGGCTTGGCCCCTTACTTCCAGTGAAAGAAACTCTTAATGCTTCAGCATACCAAGACATTTTGGCCAATTTCATGCTCCCAACTTTGTGGGAACAGTTTGGGGATGGCCCCTTCCTGTTCCAACATGACTGCACACCAGTGCACAAAGCAAGGTCCATAAAGACATGGATGAGTGAGTTTGGTGTGGAGGAACTTGACTGGCCAGCACAGAGTCCTGACCTCAACCCGATAGAACACCTTTGGGATGAATTAGAGTGGAGACTGCGAGCTAGGCCTTCTCCCCAACATCACTGCCTGACCTCACAAATGTGCTTCTAGAAGAATGGTCAAAAATGGATTAAGAATGGGATGTCATTAAAGTTCATGTGCATATAAAGGCAGGCGTCCCAGAACTTTTGGCAATATAGTGTACTTGCAAGTAATTACAAGTAATGTCAGAAAGATATCAGCTCTGCTGTTGTTCATAAATACCAGTAGTGATGTTGTACAATCAATACAATCAAGTCATCAGTGTCCCAATGTGTAGTGAGCCAGTGTCCTTTACTGTCCTTACCAGTGCCTGAATTTGTACACGATATACTGATTCACGAGTTCGGGAGCTGATTGAGACGCACCCATTGACTTATTATTGTGGAGATGAGAGGGTCTGTATCTCTTACCATTGGAGAAAGCATAACAGCTAACTTGGAACACGTGAGGCACTTCAGCCTATCGTGTAATGCCAGTGACATCAGTGGCCGCCATTCAAAGTTTTATGTTTGTTACAGTTTTCATTAATCAGTTTCTTGTGGATTAGCACACTGGTCTTGTGAATAAATGTTATATATTTGGTGTTATGCCACTAGTAAATGTACAGTAGGTCTGCATTGTTTGTGAAATGTGCTTTACTACGGTAAAAAAGAGAGCAAATTAGTCACTGCAGGGAGGATAAAACATTTCAGATTACACTAAAACTTAATTGTAATTTAATACATATTTAATTTATTAAAATTATATGTATATATTTAAATTCATAAATTATTACAATACAATTCTAACCTAGCAGCGATAAAAAGAACACTTAATTTTTTTTTATTTTCATTAAACAACATACAATGTAACACAATATTTACAATTAAATTATTCATTATCTCTTTATTCATTATGTATAATATCAGTGTTATATATGCATACATGCATAATAGTCATTACAATTCAAGTCTTACCATAACTGGTAAAACCTGAAAGCCAAAGAAATAAAACTGTATTTTTTGCTTTCTTTAGACAATATACATTACAATATCACTCAGTATTACTATTAAAAACTATGGTAATGCAATAAATGTGTCCTACTTGTCATGACATTCCCTTCTCTGTCTTATAAAATAACCTTTTTATCATAGTCAAATCTACATATCGTTCCCAATAAAAGTATTGTGTAGCATAAAACATGTTGAAGATTAGCAGACAGGCAGTCGATTCAGTAAATGGTAAGCTTCCTCACAAAAGCGGTTTATTCAATGTAGTGAAGCCTCTTCTCCATTAACATCCATTAAAAAACAGTCTCTGGTCTCCTTTCCTGCATATCGACAAAGCCACAGTGTTAGCATTACCCATTACGCTTTTTTGGCTAAAGGTTGCAGGCTTCCCTTCCAGTGTCTTTGGTCCCAAGGATTGGAGTTGAGGTCTGTCTGTCTGTCTGTCATTCTGTCATTCATCCCTTTCTATCTATCTAATCTATCCGTTTAAACTCTCTTCAGGTCCCGAGGACTCTGTCCAAGCCTCTGCTTCAGCACCCAATGCCCTTCATCTACCTGTCTCAAAACTGATTACAGGTAACACTACTGTGACTATCTATCTATCTATCTATCTGTCTGTCTGTCTGTCTGTCTGTCTGTCTGTCATCCCTTTCTGTCTATATAATCTATCCGTTTAAACTCTCTTCAGGTCGCGAGGACTCTGTCCAAGCCTCTGCTTCAGCACCCAATGCCCTTCATCTACCTGTCTCTAAACTGATTACAGGTAACACTACTGCGACTATCTATCTATCTATCTATCTGACACTCCCTATTTAGGTCGGCCTGCCTCTGTCCAAGCCTCTGCTTCAGCACCCAATGCCCTTCATCTACCCGTCTCAAAATTGATTACAGGTAACACTACTGTGACTCTTATCTATCTATCTATCTATCTATCTATCTATCTATCTATCTATCTGTCTGTCTGTCTGTCTGTCATCCCTTTCTGTCTATATAATCTATCCGTTTAAACTCTCTTTAGGTCACGAGGACTCTGTCCAAGCCTCTGCTTCAGCACCCAATGCCCTTCATCTACCCGTCTCAAAATTGATTACAGGTAACACTACTGTGACTCTTATCTATCTATCTATCTATCTATCTATCTATCTATCTGTCTATCTATCTGTCTATCTGTCTGTCTGTCTGTCTGTCATTCATCCCTTTCTGTCTATCTAATCTATCCATTTAAACTCTCTTCAGGTCCCGAGGCCTCTGTCCAAGCCTCTGCTTCAGCACCCAATGCCCTTCATCTACCTGTCTCAAAATTGAACAAATTTCACTACAAGATTAAAGGTAATTCCCTTAATGTCATTTTTGTTTGCATATTACAATATTTTTCACATTGTTTTTTTCCTTCTGCTGTTGAAAGTTAAGTAAAAAATGTAATTATTTTATTGGTTTTAGTTATTGTTATATATCACCTTCACCTTATTAACTAATGTAATCAAAAAGAAAGGGAAAATGGTACAACATTACAGGATCAAAGGACTTATATACTGTTTCAAAGGATCTGTACACACATCAGGCAAAAATAATGTAGTTTGCAAAACGAAAAACATCTATATGAGATTAATTGTCAGTCATCATCTATAGTTTGGGGCCATATGTACACTGAACTGTTCATCAAACAGTGTTTACCCCACAGTTTTTGCAATGTACCATTAAACTGCATTTTAATACTTAAAATACATTGGAAGATTGTCTTGGTCTTTTTAACTATTAACACACAATAAGAAATGTATATATGTAACACATATAAATGAAAAAGGTTAGAGAAAAACGTACTGCGCCATGGTACAACATGAATGTCAGATTTATTTCTATCATTCTACATCTATATGCCTTTAATTTTCAATCCATACATCCATCCATCAATGCATACATACATACATCCAGCATTGTGTGTTTGAAGCCTCAGTCCTTTTCAAATAGTAATATAATTATGTTTTTGCTCTCTTCCTAATAGACTGCCCAGTGCATTTAAACAAAGAAGACTTTCCATTTGTAAAAACCATGGGAACGAGAATATCAAAAAATGCAAGTAACATTGAATTTATTTTATTCAGCTTTAATTTGAATTTCTGTGAGACAGCTTCAGACAGCTTTGGGATTTAAAAAAATAAAGAATTTAAATTTCGAAAAAAAGGTTAATGTAATTTGCTTAATTTCAGGGGAAGAAAGAGACAAAGGTGCGCTGGCAGCCTTGCTCTGGCTGGTATGTACTTTTTATATTGATATTGATTTATATTGAAAAACGCTTAGCATGCAAAGTTTTCTAGTTAAGCTGTAAATAAAACCGTTTTACACAAGTTTGTGTGAACTTTATTCTCTTTATCTTATATTATGCTACTTAAATGCAGTTTTACTTGCATCTTGTTTTTTTAATGTCTCTTAGTGTGAAAATAATTTACTTAAAATTGATTTTGTTTTCCAGTGGATTAAAGTGGAAGGACACGTGGGAGCCTTATGAACTTTTTCATTCAGTTGAATAAATTAAGGTTTTTTTTTTTTTTTTTTTTTTAAAGCTTAATGCACTAAACCATTAAAGAAGATTTTAAATTGTTTTACTGTATTTCTATAGAGACACTTGAAGATATTGTTGAACTGTATTGATTTGTCTGTGTCTATCTGCCATGTGCACTCATGTTTATCTTGACCACCCCCTCTTGTATTATAAGTTAATTTGTCCGACCTGCTGTTCTTAATTACCGCTCTTTATCTTATATTATGCTACTTAAATGCAGTTTTACTTGCATCTTGTTTTTTTAATGTCTCTTAGTGTGAAAATAATTTACTTAAAATTGATTTTGTTTTCCAGTGGATTAAAGTGGAAGGACACGTGGGAGCCTTATGAACTTTTTCATTCAGTTGAATAAATTGAAGTGTTTTTGTTGTATTTTTTTTTTTTTCAAAAGCTTAATGCACTAAAACATTAAAGAAGATTTTAAATTGTTTTACTGTATTTCTATAAAGACGCTTAAAGATATTGTTGAACTGTATTGATTTGTCTGTGTCTATCCGCCATGTGCAATCATGTTTATCTTGTATTATAAGTTCATTTGTCCCACCTGCTGTTCTTCATTACCCTCCTCAATTCTTTTCCTATGTTTCTCCCCATGTTCTCTCTCCTCAGTTTGTTGTGTCTAGTAACCTCCTTTGTGGTTCCCCTGCAGGGGTCCTGACCCATGTTATTTTTGCCAGCTCTGCCTGCCTGTGTGCCTGAAGTGTTTGAGAGGACTGTTTTCCCTCATTGGGGAGGTTTTTGCTGAGGTTTTGTCATTGTTCAATAAAGCTCAAAATTGGTGATGCATTGTCTGATTTATTTGATAACATCATTAATACAACTGTTTTTTTAATGCAATGTTTTAGGCATTTGTAAAAAACAATTCATATGCAGCTTCTGTGCCACCTCTGCAGTGCAAAGACTAATTTCGGTGTTAGTGATTTCATTTGGTGCAGCTCAGTGTTTTATTATTCTAATTGTATTTATTGATTAAAAATAAGAAATTTCTCAAGCAAATGTGGATCTTTCAGATGAATTTGAGGAGTACTGGTCTGGTCTTGGTCTTGACTTGGTCCCAACACTCAAACGTCTTTGTCTTGTTTTGATCTCAACACACATTGGTCTTAGTCTTGGATTTGGTGGTTTTGTGTAACACTATAACTAGTCCATAAAGTAATTTAGTTGTCTTAATACCTAAACACTTACACCATGGATAAGTTGTTTATTTTGACATTATTACATTGTCATTTAATTGAAGTGTTTATCATTGAAATAGCCTATCATACATGCAAGGATTGGCTTTTGACACGGATGAGAATGAAGTCGGCGATTGATTGTGATTGGTTCATCCTCATTGGCGACGGCAAGCACACATGCAGACAGAGAAGGAAAGACAAAAAAAAAAAGTGATGAGACAGATGGAGAAAGAGAAGTGGAATAATAGAGCGAGAGAAACAAACAACATGCAGGGTATTTAATATCTACAGCAGAAGCATATCATCTTCATCAGAGCTCAAATCAGTACTGCTTGAGTAAAGGGCTTCCAAGTGTTCTGGCCAGCTGGAATATTCACATTCTTCACCAGTAATATGTTCAGTTATGGTGTCAATTGCCTGATAACTTGTTTTTACAGTCTCCTGGTGAGCTCTTAGCTGATGTAATTTTCTCTTTAACAAACACTGAAGTCCTTGAATCCCATCATCTGGAAGACTCCAGGGGTTAACTATAAAAACAAACACACAATAAATAAATGAAAAGTTAATTTCATGTGGGATCATGAGATTACAAAGACATGGTTTAAATTTTATATATATAAAAATGTTAGGTTCTTACCACCGAAGATGATGGTATCAAGCAAACTATTCAGTTTGTGTTCCTGACTTCTTAGATAAAGCCAGTGCTGCTTTGCCTCTTGAACAACGATAGTTTGTTCTTCCTCTAGTCGTTGAATTAGCATCACCTTGTCAAAGAACTTTTTCTTTGTCAAGAGGTTGACATCATCTACACAATACAGGTAAATCATGTAAATGACAAAGACATATTGACTATATAATTCAATGTGAATACCTATGTTATGCATCATTGACCTTGCTCTGTTAGCTGCCAGGGGAAAACGTAGTCATTTTGTAGGACCTCTTCAATGGACTGTATCTTGAGGAAGGGGTCAACAAGGGCATTGTACTGCTCAATTGCAGAAGCCAGCTTCTTTCTCTCCTCGTTTATTTTTCTTCTTATTTTATTTCGCCCTTTGTTTGTGGCTGAAACATAATGAATTGACATGGGGCATTTTTTGTATTACTATTTGTTATTGACAACAATAATAGTAGTAATAGTGATAAGAATGATGAAGACGAAGAATAAGTAGATCTTTCCTTTTATATTAAACATACCAGTGTGTCTGTAAAGACGATGTTGCCGTTGTTTAATGCACAAAGATAATTCTTCCATTGTGTTCCTTATTGGCTGAATTGCAGCATCACGGTCTCCTACAGTTGCTGTTTAAAAAAAAAAAA